TTTTTTTTTTGATTTTTGCAATTTCAAATCATATTTTAGTATAATATAAATAATTTGCCATAAGTCGCTTCAATAGTTGTAATATACTTTTTCGGACTACCTAGGTCTCATTGGCCAATCACTTGAATTTAATTAATATTTAAATAATAATAATATATGTAAAAATACATAAATCACTGATAAACTTAAATAACTATATTTTATGTCAAAACTCATATTTTTAATGCCGTTAACAGTGCTTAACTTAAAATCTGGTAGAGGTCAGTTTTAAATATGAAATTTTAAAGTTTTACAACACCAAACATGTGTAAAAACAATTCCATTACAACGAAAAATTGCAGTTTATAGTAATATACTTACTTATATAACATAAAATAGTTCCAATGGTAATTTGATTTTAACTTTAAACTCTTAAAAAAAGTCTGAAATTAATCTTAAATGAAATGAGAGTAAATAAAATAAATAAAAAGATACAAACAAATAAATTATTTTTTTAGTTTCTTTAAGGTACTTTTTAGCCGTGAATGAACCCTGTTAACGACAGAATTCCTAATATTATTACAAACCATTAAACAATTTCACTTTAATAAATTATAAGTCCAGGGACCAGGACTATGAAAAACCTATTTCAAAATAATGATACACTTAAATCAAAATTGACGTTTTGCAGTAAAGGAAAATATGAGTGAAGATATAACATTTATTATTCAAAAAATTTAAACAAACTTTCCAATCACCCCAGACTTAAATAGTAAAATTTTAAAATGGTTAATAATATTATTATAACTTAAATTTAGCACTAATTATTATTTGGTGACAACATTAATCATTGACAGAAGAATTTAGTATTAATTTTGTATTAAACACAAGATAGATTATATTTTTATCTTTTGAGTTGTAATTATTGATGTTTTCGTCTCATTTAAATCAATCATAAAATATCATACAAATTACAAAACATTAACCTTAGCACAAGTTTTAGTAAATTATAATGTGCAGTTAGTTCAAATAGTTAAAATCCACTGTTTTGCAATTAACTCGATTCCCTAAAAAATTGTTTGTCAATATAATAATAAATATATAAATAATATTTAAGTTAAAAATGTATACTTACTTAATTTAAATTTATAGTGATATTTTAATCCAATATGTGAAATTATGAAGCAATATTTTTATTTTCACTGTTAACAAAATATTGGTACTTTTTAATGAAATTCTAAATAGCAGTATGAATAACATATTAACATAAAGGATTTTCCAAATTGTATGTGATAGTAGATTTCACTATGGATTATTTAAATTCCGATCTTTCGAATTTATACCGTGTGTCCCAAAAATCAGGGGCCACTTTACTACTCATTATCATGTAAATATTTTTCAATTCTGTTTGCGGGACATTAAACTAGACTAATGGATCGTACATTTCTTTGACTCACAATGTTTTTAACTCATGTATCTTGTGCATGCGCAATAAAACTTACATTTTTTTAAATGGCAACCCGTAATTTTAATATCATATTCGGGTTCATCGATTTTTTTTCAAGCCATTTTGATGTATCAACTTATGTCCTAAACCCAAAATTGACTAAACTAGACTAGAGCTAAGTAGAATTTAAATAATTAAAAAATTCAATTTAATTAATTTTTTTTTTTCTAACCGTACGTACTTATTTTTTTCTTAGTTTATGTCTTTAGAATAGTTTATGTCTGTAATTTCTGTAAATTAAATTGTAAATAAAAATGTATAGTAATGGTAAAAAAAATAAAATAGAAATGTTGTTTCTTGAAAATACATGTTTAAACTATGTTATTTTATAATGCGTAATAATAAAATAAGATAATAATTCATAAATAGTAAATAGTTAGGTAATTAGTTTAATAATAATAATTTTGATTGTTTGTTTGTTTGTTTCATGGTGTTTAGAAGAAAAAAATAAGAACGTACAGTTAGAAAAAAAAAATTAATTAAATTGAATTTTTAAATTATTTAAATTCTACTTAGCTCTAGTCTAGTTTAGTCAATTTTGGGTTTAGGACATAAGTTGATACATCAAAATGGCTTGAAAAAAAATCGATGAACCCGAATATGATATTAAAATTACGGGTTGCCATTTAAAAAAATGTAAGTTTTATTGCGCATGCACAAGATACATGAGTTAAAAACATTGTGAGTCAAAGAAATTTACGATCCATTAGTCTAGTTTAATGTCCCGCAAACAGAATTGAAAAATATTTACATGGTAATGAGTAGTAAAGTGGCCCCTGATTTTTGGGACACACGGTATATTATGTGTATGAATCATTGTATATTCACTTTTTTTTATGAATTGAAAAGTAAAGATCAAATCTTCTGTCTAAGTATATTTGATGTAAATATAGATAATCTTAGACTATCAATTCGTCAAATTCAAATACCAAAACAAATAAAACTCTTCAATAACTGACAGGAACATCTTAGTTGTTGGTAATATTTCTATGTAGTATTTCTATGCCACTGGATTTCAAAACAAGGCATTTAATATCCAGTAGGTACCAGTGAACCATAGGTTATACAAAAATAGTAGATGCATGATGTATCCATGATTAAATTGAAATCAAAAATATGTTTAAGCTGCATGGCATTTATTTAGTTGTAGAAACTATCAACTAGTAAAACTTACCAACAAATTGTGCATAATATGTACCTACTCATCAAGTATCCAATTGATATGCAACTAACCAATTTAGTGGTCCTTGAAGTGAAAATTTTGGCTCCATATTTTGTCAAAAATGTGTAAGTCATTTATAAGTATTTGTAAGCACGAATTAAAAATTTGTAAGTCATCCCTCTATTAATTATCCCAAAAATAAGTTGGGCCGTGCTTTATCGAGCTTTTTGAACTTTGTTCCAAATTGTCCTGTGCATTTTGTAAGTTTTGAAAAGTCAAGGTTCAAACATTCGATAAAGCACGGTTAACTTCTTTTTAAGGACAATTAAGGAGGGGATGACATACAAATTTTAAATTCGTGCTTACAAATACTTACAAATTGTCAACGATCAGTAATTGCCACGATTCAATTATTTCTTATAATCTTATAAGTTTATAACAATATAACCTAACCGTTTATCTAGGTACTCAACATATTTTCATGTGCTTCACGGTAACATGGTATTAGGTATACTTGCACATTATCATGTAACCATGAACCATGATAATATTATAGATATTATCTATAATCGTGCAGAGAACCAATGAACAATACAAATAACAGCTGATCGAAATAAGTATATTATTTTAGTACCTATTTTAGACATAGAGCAATGTACTTTACGATTTTTACTTAGTCGTGAATCCGCCTAATCAGGCATCACCTTATTGTTTCGTTCCTGTAGGTACCTTGTAGTGGGGACAAGAGTATTACATGCGTCATATGACAAGTGAGTAAGTGACATTAATGGTTCAATCACTTATATTATGACAATAATAAGTTATTGTAGTGATGAGTAGGTGCAACGATTATCACCGATATACCTTGTGGTCGAACAATATCGAATTTATAACTTATAGCTTCTAGATCTTTGTAATCAATAACTAATAAGTATTATTATGATCAGTGCCACTATAACACCTCCAGTGTGCGAACCTTGTCAAATGGAATTATAAAATATATTTAGGGGCACAACTTAAGTTTACAGTACTTACTGAATTTATTTATCTGATAAATGTAATATCTTTTACCCTAGGGCATAAAAATCCTAATTGTTGCAGTATCTACCGACTAGGTATAATACATTAACACAAATACCTTCCAAAACTACCCAACTTTTAGGAGTTATATCTCATCAATGGATTAATGAAAAATGAAAATTTAAGCGTGATGATTCATAAGAAAAATAGTATTATTAATTGTTGGCATTTAAAGTATAGGTTACCGTTTGAAAATCAAAAGTTAATAGTGGTTTTCCCAATAAATATAAGGATGAAAAATACAAAAAAAATATACAATTCTAGAATAGAGTAAATCTATAATATTTTGAAAAAAAAATTTTAAAAAGGCAATACTTTTTGAGATAATGAGTGTCATATGATTTTTTTCTAAAGTATATATTTTTTGAGTTAAAATGAAAAATTATTTCAGTAAGGTAATCATTAAAATTACATAAAAAAAAATGTATATAATTAACTATAATTACAATTAATATATATTATAATAAAATATTTAAACAATACAATTCATTATATTTTCATAATTATTTAAATAATAAAATACATACAATATTATAATAACTGTATTTCGATGATATTATAGTCAACTATATTTTGAAGGATACCTTAGTTAAAAGGTTGCAATTATTATTCTGGCACAACACAAAAATATATGTATATTATTCATTAATGTGATATGTTAATGATTAACGGGGCTTGGTTTAACCGGGTTGTCTATAATTCTGTTAATAATTACATCTCCAATGATAGTGTTCAGAGTTATGAAATTCCAAAATAATTTTTTATTTTATCATTTAATGAGAATTGAAAGTTTTGGAAAATAGAATATAAATATATAATGGTCTACCATCTAAAGGACCTAACAATAAGTGGAGAATCCCAATGAAAACATAATAAAAAGTTGCATACCTATTACAATTGTTAAACAGTTGTAATAAAATATATTATATAGGTAATTCTGAGTTCTGATTAAAAATATTTTGCATTTGAAACTTTTGATTGAGAAATAAAAATATAGGTTATCGTTTATAGATCATGAGAAATTGGTAGTAGTTTGACCAACAAACATTTTGGGTAGAAGTATCTGATTGTCTTCATACATAGCTTTAAATGTTCTAATACTAATAAATGCAATGGACTTATAAATATCGGTAAACTTAGGCTACTTATAGGTAAGATAAACTATGTTTATTTCATAAAAATAATATTGATTATTTTACATGGTTAAGAGTAACACTATGTATTTTATAATTTTCTGATAATATTATGTATTTACATTGTTGTATAGACAAAATGTTTCCGATGCAAGTATTGATTGTTTTATCAACGATTATTATCGTTCATCAGACAGCAAAATTGAACAATGAGAATCAAACACCGGTCACAACTAATTATGAATTTGATAAAGATGGACATGAAATGTTAAACAACAAGACATTTTATAATTATTCAAATGGTAGTTCTGAAAGTACAACTTCATATTATTTTAATATAAAAAATTTATTTGGAAATTACACAAATTCAAATGAAACAGCTTCACCTGTTTCAAAATATATCATTTCAGACAATATAAAGGGTATAATAAGGGATATTAAAAGAACCCACTTCCCTACGTTTCCTTGGTTTGACTAGGTTCCCCCACCATATAAAATCATTTTTTTTAATTTATTAGAATCTCAAAATATACATACATTTGTGCATTAAGTTGAATTGTTATTATTTCCATATTCATATGATTATATATAATCATTTTTTCATATTTCTATTCCCCAGCTTAAAATATAATTCTCACCTGAGAAAATATATGATTACATTGTTATATCAAACAATTCTTGTGAAAATGCTCTATGTGAACTAGATATATATAAGTATATATAATACATAAGTAAAAAACGGTCAGTATATCCAGTGCTTGAATTGGAAAAAAAATAGAAGGGGGATGCAAAAGTATAAAAGATATGTGCGTCCCCGAACATTTAAATGTCTTACTGTTAAGTGGTAGCATATGTCCCCCTCTCGCTACAATGACATTTTACACCATACACCAATAAACCTAACCTAACCCTGATACTATCATAGATATATAATATAGTGTACTTAAGAAGTTTCAAGTACCCACGAATAGTATTATACACTCACAACAAAATAACTAAAATAGGTATGCTAGGTTTTATGTAATTTCGTCCCAAATTTGAACTTAAAATGACCATAAAAATAAACTGTGGTTGTGTATTTTTTAGATTTTTTGGTAACAGAATTAACTACTTACGTGGAATCTTGTTTTAAATTTTCAATCCTTAGCTATAAAAACTGAACATTTTATAATTTATTAATTACGATGATTGATAATTTTCGAGATTTTGATAAATTTAGTCAAAATGCGATCTTTAAATGCTTATAGAAAAAAATTGTGCCTATGTATTTTTAATATTTTTCAATTGCTATTGTAACAATATATCAGGAGCATTGTATTAATTTTTTACACTTTTTGGCCCAACAGATAAAACTTTATTGATATTTATAGAAAAAAAAAACTAAAAAAATTGAAAACTAAAAAGGTCCGTAAACGGCTCAAAAAGAGTCAAAATATTTTCAAAATTGTATGGTGTATAGGAAATGCTAATATAAACATTCAGTGAAATTTTCATGTATCTACAGTAATTCGTTTTTGAATTACAACAAAATAAGGACATCGCCACATGAGAAATCGAGTGAATATCCAATGTTGTAAAAATTTGAATTTCAAACGCTCATAAAAATTTAATTTGACTTTCTTATAGAATTTTTTTTTTTTGATAAATGTAGGAAATCTTATAAGGAATCTTGTATTACATTTTCATATCTAAGATTTAAAAAGAAAAATTTTTATGAATTTCTAACTCGAAATAATTTGCAAATTGTTGTGATTTTTCCATATTTTGTCATTTTTTGAACTTTAAATGCTTAAAAAAAAAAAACTGTGACTAACGATTTTCAATATTTTTCAAATGCCATTGTAACAATATAGTAGGAGCCTTGTATTAAATTTTCAAGTATTTTTACTCAACAAATACATTTTTATTGATATTCATAAAAAAAAAAAACTAATAAAATTGGAAACTGTAAATGTCCCTAAACAGTTCAAAATAAATCAAAATATTTTGAAAATGTTATCGTGTATAGAAAATGCAAATATAAACAACCACTGAAAATTTCATGTATCTACGGTCATTTGTTTTAAAGTTACACCAAAAACCAAAATCGATTTTCTCGAAAACAGATTTTGTGTAAAAATTCCCGTTTTTCCTTAATTTTTCTTTTGTTTTTCCCAGCGCTTTTGAAAACTACTGGGAAATTTAAATTTTAACCTCCCCAATGCACCAACGATATTCACTTTCCAATCGAACAAGATACTGAAGTTGAAAATCGAAGCATTATTTCGACTACTTATCGTGTACACAGACACAAAAAAAAAAAAAAAAAATAAATAAATAAAAAAAAAAAAAAACACACATCATTGTAAAATTAATACATTCATCGTTTCATTCAGAATCTAAAATAAAAATATTTCCATTAATTTAGTACAATTTTTAAAATGATTCCCGTCCCCAGCGTCCCATTAAAAGAAATTAGAAGGGGTACGCTAAAATATTTTTAAAATAGAAGTGGGACTCCGTCCCCCCGCGCCCCCCCCCCCAATTCAACCACTGAGTATATCTCGTATAAATGACTGTTCCATTTTTAAATATTATAACCATATTAAAATAATTGAAACGAAAATAATGCGGTAATGAGTCATTTGGTTAATATTAAACACGAACTCGTTATTGTTACTTCAGATGACGCATACCTTTTTATACCCGACCCGGACCAGTTACTGGGTTTATAAGAGTTCCACGGACAACTGCATTATACAAAGAACATGGGGGTCAGCTTAAAGTACAATCATCAACAATTAAAATTTAAAAGTATAAATATTAAATATAATTAAGGTTAAGGCAACCAAATTATAAAAATAAATGAATAATTTAAATGACTCTAAAACAAATGACAGTAGATACATGCAATTTTTACTAAATGTTTATATTAGCATTTTCTATACACCATGTCTTTTCAAAAATATTTTCACTTATTTTGAGCTGTTTAAGGACATTTTCAGTTTCCAATTTTTGTAGTTTTTTATTCTATAAATATCAATAAAATGTTATTTGATGGGTACAAAAGCTTGAAAATTTAATAGAAGGCCCCTAGTATATTGTTTCAAAGACAGATGAAAAATATTAAAAATCCATAGTCATAATTTTTTTTTATAAGCATTTAAAGTTCAAATATTGACAAAATACGTAAAAATGACGAAAATTTAAAAATTATTTTGATATAGAAATTCATAAAAAATTTTCTTTTTAAATCTAAGATTTGAAAATGCAATACAAGATTTCTCATAAATTTGTCTACCTATATCCAAAAAAAAAAAAGAAATGTCTACAAGGAAGTCAAATTAAATTTTTATGAGCCTTTGAAACTCAAATTTTTACAACATTTCATATTCATGTAACGATTTCCCTACTTTGTTGTAAATAGAAAACGAATGACTGTAGATACTTGAAAATTTCACTGAATGTTTATATTAGCCTTTTCTATACACCATACAATTTTGAAAATAATTACACCGGAATTAAAATTCTTCTTAAACAATTAAGACCGGCTAATATCAATTTTCAGACCACCGTGCGGTCACTTCCCTCCCGGACAAATTATTTATTTTGTATATTATATTATATTATTATTACGATTTACTGTTGTGCTCGTTGGTAGCGGTAGCCGGTGTGCACCTCTACGTGTTGTTGTCCTCACAATGTCATAACGTGTCATTTAGTTATTATATAATCGTCATTCGAGACGCGCTCGTGTGCGACCATTCTCGTCCTTATAATACACTCCAGCCCTGCATAGTGACGATTGTGAATAACAATATGATAATAATATATCACAATGATATGCGCTTACGGCACACACGATCGACTGCCGGAATAATAATAATAATATGTGCTCGACGAATATTATAACATTACTGTCTCCGCCTCCTGTCGGGCTTTAGAGTCGCGGGCGCGCGTCCTGTATAAATATAATAATATATACGGCGCACTGCAGCGGGCTGTACAATGGGATTTTAAAACTGATTTGCGCCCCCCCCCCCAACACCCGAGACCAGACCGCACTGTCGGCAAACAGTTCAAATCGAATCACACGAAACACAAGAGGGTCCATTAAGAAGTCAACGGCGGTGGTGCGAGTGGTGTGAATGTAGTGCGTATGTTTTATTGTGTAGGCACGGCGGCGGGGTTGACGACGACCAACACGACTACAACGACGCACTGCAAAACTATATTATAATATAATAGTGACGACAACGCACTGCCACATATATTATGGGTGGAATCGGGTCGGTGGTATGGAACGCCACGATCGTAAAATGTTTGTCGCCGTCGTATAACGACGGGGATATTATATTATGATGGGGAACGACATCGATTAACATATTTTTTGGAGTGGGTAGTTTGGGAGCGATTCGGGAATTTTATGGGGTCTGTACGGGATTTTTAGGTACGCCGTAGGTATCATGGGTGTTTTTATCCGCAAAGAAAGTAAGAGAAAGATAAAAATAACTTAAAAAATACAACACAGCCCATTGCGGGGTGTGCAGTAAACTTATGAATTTACGTTTAAAATTTCAGCTATACATTGAATAAATGGGTAGCGCACTTTACATTAGGTTTTTCAGATTTCGGAGTTAGGTGGCAGCGATGAACTAGACGATGTCGGAGTTTGACTAAGGGCGATCGTGTAGTATTTCGGCTATTTATTCGACAAGTTTCGATGTACATTTGGCATTCACTAGGTATGTGTTCGACAGTGACTTGGATGACTGTTGTTAGATAGTCTGCGGATTCGTCTACTGATAGAGGCAATGTATGAAAAAAGTGAGTTTGCTCGCAATCGTTCGCACAGAGGCACATGGTGTGTCTTGCTGCCCCTGAACTGTTCGATTAGATTTGGAAGGGCCGAACAAGTCGAAATGTCCACGCTGGACCACCTCATGATGCCCAATAAAATATAAGTTAGTTATCCAAAAAGTGTATTGAATTACGAAAGCTAATCTTTTTGACTTTTTGTGTTTAAATTGGTCCGTCTTTAACACAGACCACAGTCTATTATTATTAACATTTATTAAAGACTTGTATAGTTTGTTGTATGGCGTATATCTATAATATAATGATAACTAACAATAAATAGGGTTTTCTGTGTTCTATCATAAGTATAGGTAAGTACACTATAATATTAATTTCATTACTACCGTCCCCCGTCGGGATAGGTTAGGTAAAAATGTTGGCTGCCCCGACTTGAAACTATGAGTTTGCTGGTTTAGTAACTCTAGCTTTAATACTTCGATAAGTCAAATATAAAATATGACTTGTTTGACGGTCAGATAAACAATGACGATGAGTAGTGACATCATATTTTTTCTTTTATCCTATATAATATAAGTACCCACCTGGCAACCTATATGGAAAATCGTTTAGGACTAATTTCGCCCAACAACATTATTGGACTTGTATTGAACTTATTATTGTAAGTGTTGGAGTAATTTATTG